GTCCCCGCTGCAGAAAGACCTCTCTGCAGAAATGAGAATATCTACATGCTTTTAAGTGGGGAAACCCAAAAGCCACAGAGACTATGCGCACAAAGGTTTGTCCTGGTATTTTACAAATCCTTATTCCCCTTTAAAGGAAGAGATGGTATTGGAAAAGCCCCTTCCGTGTCCCCTCCCATGCCACACTCCCCGCCACCCACCACAGCCCCCACACCATCCTTTCGGACATGGATCACCCTTACCTATTGAGCTGAGGAGAAGCTTGTCTCGACAACACTGCCCAGATAGCTGAGATTAATCAAAAACAAAGCAGTTATCAACACCCGCAAGGAGCCGAGCTCCGCAACACATCAGCGCGTCAAAAACTCCAAAGGAAAAGGAGGAAAAGGAACCAAAACAAACAAATCGTTCAAACAAGTCTGGAGAAGAGAGGGGGAAGAGACAGAAGACAAAGAAAAGGAAATAAAAAACAAAGCGAATGAAAACACTGCATAAAAGCACAGACAACAGTGCTCTGACACAGAATTGTCCTGTGACGTCCCCATAGCTGGGGCTCTTCAGGGTCCCCTGCCTAGGTGAGGTTAGAGACGTACAGATATGCGTGCATATAGTTTTGAAAGCCACAGCAGGATTGGTTTGGGGCAGATTTTGCTACTGTGGGTCCCAACTCCTTAGCAGAAGCACCCCTTCATCCCACTCACCCTGGTGCCTGCAACCAGCAACCAACAACAGTGCTGAAGGGGTTCACTGGGTTTCTAAGGACTTAAAAGCTTCCAGGTACCAGAGAGCTGAAGTGAAATGCAGGGAGCATTGCAGGATGAAAGTCTGTCTGCCACCCCCAAAGGCTTGCCTGACGTGACATTATCCTATACCTCAAACAATGCAGGCTCCGAGTTTGACCATCAGCCTGTCCTCGCCTGCCCCAAACTCTTCTCCTCACTGAATTTAACTGTTCTGAGTTCAGAGTTTGCTTCGATTCATTAAACGTTACGTTCCACCAGCTGAGGGATCAAGGGGTTAAACCCCACTACGTGAAAAATAAGTATCAAGGAAGACGAAAGGATGGAAGGAAAGCACGTCTACAAGATTCAAGGTGCTGCGAAAGAGACGGAGGGAAAGAGGAGAAAGACAGAGAGAAAAAGACGCTTTGCCTGCTGCAACCCTGGTACCTGGAAAACCAGCCGCTAGAGTTTAGCGCAGCGCCTCCCTCTTTGGGGCAGGACCTGAGAATGCCGGCAGCTTCCTGATTTCCAGTCGGGACTTTTTCCTCTCCTTACATGCTGAGCGTGTGGCTAAGTCCTCGTTTTCTCTCCCTGCCCGAGTCTTGGGGCTGCAGCATCCCTTTTGGAGATGGGGTGGCAGGGTGACTTTGGCGGCTGTCTCAGTCTTGGGGCACGGTCAGACTCACAGTAAGGAACAGATAGAAGACGAAGAGGCACACAAGGCTGAACTTTCCGGGGAAGCCAAGAGCCAGGAACTAGAGAAGGAAACTGCCAGTGATGCTGGGACACTCACCCAACCAGCACAGGTGACTGAACCCATAATCTAGTTCCTTACATGCCTCTTCATGGACAGCACGCATCCCAAGACACGGAAGGTCCCAAATCGCAAGGAACTGTTGGAGAGTAACATACACCGTGAACAAACAAGCGTTTCTCTGCCTATTTCACCCGCTAGCGGTAGCAGTGCCCATCAGTACCAAGCTGAGTAGCAACAGTAGCATGAGCCTCTTCAGAGCAGTGTCCCATCAATGCCAATGGGAAATCATCTCCAAAAGGGATGCTGCAGGGTGTCCAGACAAACCCTATAATATCAGTTGATGATGGTGGGGGAGGGAGTTGGAGGGAGCAGGTGAGGTGGGGTGGGGGGAAGGAGAAGAAGGTAGAGGGGAAACTAAAGGTTTCACACACTTACCCCGAAGTGGATAATGTTGTCGATGTAGGCTCTGGTCTGAGAATCTCCTCCCCAGCCCTCCTCGGAGAGGGAATTTCTCCAAAAACATCCATGCTGTCCACGGGCAGGGAGGAGCCCTGGGAGGAAGGGAAACCAGTGGCCAAAGAGGTGAAGGCCCCAGCAGGTCGATAGCTGGGACTTCCTCCCCTGCTGCTCTGAGCTGGGGATCCAGTTGATGGGGTGGACTTGCGGGAGAAGCTGACCGCTGCGGGGGGCTGCAGGGTGATCTCCGACATCTCTGCCTGCTGGATGAGGCCCGGCCGCGGTCTGGCACGTGCGGTCAGCTCCGGGGAGCTGTTGCGGGAGCTGAGGGGGCTTTGGGTCAGAGGGGAAAGCCTTGAAGGTTGTAGCACCACCTGATGTAAACTGGGCTCGGCCCTCCTGACTTGCCGAGGGCTAGGCCGAGGTCTGGGTTGGGGCTCATACCACCTGGTGTCCAGGCTGAATGTGCTTGTGCCGCTGTGGCCGACTGACTCGGACGGTTCATGGTAAGGCAACACGGGTATGCCCATACCTTGACTGGTATGTCTTAGCTGCCCTTGACTTGCCATAGGTTGCATAGGTTTGTCCTGCCATTTGGTGGTGGTGGGCACAGAGGGTTGGCTTCTGCCAGGTGACTTGCCAGTCCAACTCTTTGGTGCCTCCAGGGGCAGAATGCCAGGGTAGGACGCCGGGACCTGGAGGGAGGAAGGGGGCGGCCCCCTAGGAAGACAGGCCTTCGGCTGTACACTCTCGGCCACGTTGCACTGCTGGAGCTGGTGAGGGAATATCATGGGAGAAGCCTCCAGGCCGCTGAACGGAAACTCAGCCCTCCCCCACGGCTCAGGGGATCGGCCCCCCGTGGGCGTCTGAGTCAGGGGCAACGTGCTGTTGGAAGCATTCTCCCCATTCTCCTCGGGGATCGTTGGGTGTCCAAAGGGCCCCTCAGGGTGCAGAGGAGGGGAGGACATGACAGAGCTGAGAGGGCTGACTTCTGGCATGTAGAAAGGTGGAGGGTCCATCTCCCCAGGACTGCTGCTGCTGAGGTAACCGTAAAACTGGCTGTGGTGAAAAGCCCTGGGGGCTGGTGGTCTGGTCTGGCCGGTGGCCTGCAGGCGACCCTCGAGGGCACCTGTCCCCTCCAAGCCCCTATGGAACCTGGGGCTGTATGCTGGTGGCTGAAGGTAGGACTCCTGGCTGGAGGACAGAGGGGTCAGCTGGGATTTGAGGGCTGTTACAGAGGAGGGCATCATGGGGTCATCGTTTTCTTCGTCCGACTGGCGGAACTCAGGGTACATGTCCGTCTCCTCCACGAAAGGGAAGCCCTCGATCCGGCGGGTCTTGAGCGAGGGCTCCATCTCGGAGGGGTCCATCACAAAGCGGCCATCTGGTCCACGGCTGATGAGCTCGATAGGGGTGGTAGCCTCAGCTTCGGCCTCAGCCTTGGAGACGCTGTATTTCTTGCTGCTAATGGCCCTCTTGGTCTTCTTGTAGAGAGACAACTCTTTCTCCTTGCTAGGGCTCAGCATTCGTTTGCCCGGTGGGCCTTGATCGTCAGAGGACTCGGAGGGGGGCCGGAGAGTGCGGATGCTCTCGGGACTCACCTTGCCGGAAGACAACCTAGACCACAGAAGAGAAAAAGCCAAAAAACAAAACAAAAAAAGGGGACGGTCACAGAGAGAGAAGAGAAATCTGGGGCTCGCGTATCAGCACAGCTGAGCCACAGGCCAACTGGACCCAAAATCAAAGCCTTAACTGTTCTCAAAAGAGAGTCCTGGAAGACGACAGTGCAGAAACCATTACGATGGAAGAAGCTTTTCTCATTTTCAGCAAGCCCCCGTGGTTGCGCAAGTTGTGAGGAAGTGAGAATAAGAGAAAAGGAGCAAAGAAGAACCACATCACCCCCCATGCCCCATATTCCTGAATGGAGAAGTATCCTATTCTTACATACACCCCCAAATGCCAGCAATATTGGCACTACATTTCCTTCAAATTAGCTCCAGAACCCCAGAGAACTAGAGACCAGTGAAGACAGGTCTAGAGCTTGGCTTCATTTCAAGTACTCAAAAACTGTTATGCTTGTTTGAACTATCAGAGCCTCTTGCAGATCTAGGCTGAGAGTTTTCCAACAAGTTCTCTCTCACGCGATTCCTAATGCTTCCGCTTCCAGATAGAAAGGAACATGATAACATTCCTTTTAAAGGATTTGGGCACTTCCGATTCCAGCTCAAACTAAGACGTGGAAAGAGTGTCAACCAAATGGAGTGGAAAAAGTCATCCTTCCTCCCAAGCTTAAGGGAGGGGGCTTGACAGGTATGCAGAGGGAAGCAACTGCATTATGAAAATAGTTCCTCTGTTGCCACTGAGAAGGCTTGGGACATAACAAGTTAAAGGCAGAAGTGCAGCAGATCCAAGTGGTGAACCCGAGATAAGAAAATTAAAGCGGATGCCAGCCAAACAAGATTAAAAACACTGGGGTGTCCCACATCTTCCATGATTCTCCTGAAGCCACTATGGGAGGTAACCTGAGACTTATGATCACATCAGGAAGAAGCTCCGTCCCTACCAACTCTTTCGGGTGGATGTCCTGAGTAGTTCCAGTAGGGTCTAGGAGTTGTGACAAGCATGGCAAATGGCAGTGATCCGTAAGTGCGAAGAGGAAGCTAGAATAGGGGAATAAGGTAAGGCATCATTCTACCCTCTAAATTCCCCATTGAAAGAACATGCACACACACAGACATGCTCACACCAAAAGGTGCAAGATTTCTAGACACCTAGCTTCCGTTAAGGTTCCCATTTTCCCTAGGCCGCCCCTTCTTTTTTTAGCAACCACTTATAATACTTCTAGTACAACTCCATTCCACCTCTACTAGGTTTGCACTGTGCCCTCGGGTCTTTACGCAGGCTCATTGAATCTACCTCCTCTCTCGTTTGCTCCGAAACCATGTAGTGTCTTGCAGGTTTTTGGTTCCAAAGAGTTTAGGAATCATCAAAAGCAATGTTAGTCATTTCCATTTCCCACAAGCAGCATCCCTACAAAGAGAAGTCTCAAAACCACTTGACAGATCCCAGCCTAGGTGGCACCTCTGAGTCAGAGATACTTACGGAGACTCCAGACTCTTCCTGCAGTGGGTAATCGAGAGAGGAGGGTCTGGAAGAGAAAAAGGGGAATGCTAAAGAGGCGCAACTAGGCAGAAAGAGGCAACAAACTTCTTACATCAAGAACACCAACAAAAAAAGACACTCAACAAGAGACCAATTTTTGGTAGTTCTAGTGCTTTAATGGTTGCTGACAACAAAGAGCTCGAGACAATTTCCTATCAATCCTGTTGCCACAATCTCATGCACCTGAGATGAACAAAGTCCATGGCCCCAAGTCCCAACCAGTGTAAATCTGTTGCAGTTTTCTCAACTGATCTTTCTGGTGTGGTTTGTTCCAGTCCCAGTTTTAAACAACTGGAGCGATGGGACTTCCACCACTTCCTGTGTGCAATTCTTCTATAGTCTAACGCGGCAGTTCATAGGCTACATGATCCATGGAGCTGTTCTTGGTGGCCCACTCAAGGAAGTGACTTGAAAACCAAGCACTGGGGGGATCTTAGGAAGGGGAGTGTCTGCATGAAGAGTCTTCCCTTTTCTTGCCAAGAATGAAAAATTTCATTCTAAAACCCACTGGTCTAACAGTTATCGCCATTCAGAAGATTCCCTCAAGCTCCCCGTCTGCAGTTTCTCTCTGTTTCATCTTCACCTCACCCTGCCTCTGACATTTCTGATCACGTTTTTAGACAGCAACAGAGAGAGTATAGCCTGAATACATCTTTTCTTTGGCACATAAGCACTTCATTTTTCTCCCTGAGCTGTAAGAGGCTAGGGCCTTTTGAACGTGAGCTCTAGATTGCCATACACGTCTCGGAGGCTTTATTTTTAAACCATCTATTCAGATCATAGATGAAGAGGGGAAGGAGAAAAAGTCACGGCTGAAGGATGGAGGTAGGACAGGCTTCATCTGGAGACACTCAGGGGTGAAAGAAGAGACAGACAGGGATGAAGATCACAACCAAAACAGAACAAGATCAACACACACAAGGAACTAGCCTCACCTTTCTTACGCTTGAGTTTCCGTTTGCGTTGTTTGTTGACAAAGCAGGCAGCTAGCGTGCTGAAGAGGATGGCAGCAGCCAAAAAGCAGATGGTGGCAACAATGCCAGCCAGCACCGGGCGAGCCAAACCATCATCTGTTAGGTCAGGCTGTGGGAATACATCTGGAGAAAATATAAAGGAAAAGGAAACCCCTCTGAATTACTAAAACATACTGCAGGACGCAAGGAAGTGGGAAAATGTGTCAGTATAGCTCACATGCATTAACTGAAGCAACTACTGCAGAACTGGCTGGTTCATAAGACTGCTGAAAGGAGCACAGGATTGGAAGGGACCTCCCTAGTCAGAGAACAGGCCTCCGACATCACTGCCATGTGCGTGACAAGCATTTATCTAACAGGGTCCAAAACAACACTGACCCTAGCCTGCACTGCGTATTGTACAAGCAAAGGTCCCAATAATAAAGAGAAAATCCCTACAGTGTGCCAAAGGGAGAGAGAGGGGCCAAGGCATCACCAATACCTTGGACTCCAGCTATGACAGAGCATTTCATGCCAGGGTCACATCTGTGTCCAGCCCAGCCTGACAGTAAATGCATCCTGCTATTATCTGAGGCAGGTAGGTGGTCCACAGGAGGTGGGCTTTAGGTTCTCAGTCAATAGCCTAGCAAACCACCAGACACATCCCGATAAAGTGAGGATGCTCAACTCCCAGTCTGAGGGCCAAATCTAGCCTACAGAGCCACGTCATGTGGCCTGTGGGGCTCTCCAAACATCAGGAAATTTGGCAACTGGAGAGCAGTGGTAGCATCAATTGCCTCTCCCCTGCTGCCAAATGTGGGTCCGTGGGGAGCCCCCCAGGCCAGATAACATGGCCACGAGTGCTAGACTGGCCACATGCTGGTGCAAAGCCAGGTGTGCAGGGTCAGGCTGGCATGTGGTTGGATCCAGACATATGAGGTGATATCCACAGAGTGACCCCACACAAGCAAAAGCTACCAAACTCCAGCAGACAAGCCTCACAAGAGGAAAGGAAAAGGCTTCAGCTTGCGTCAAGCCAAGAATTTCTGCGGAGCACCACTTGGGGGCAGAGCAAGACTAGATTTGTCCTCTGCACAGCAGAGACAAGTTACAGCCGATAGCTCGGCCTCCTGTGCCCTGAGCTGATGTAATTTAGACTCACATCATTCTTATTCCTCGCTCTCCTTCTATGGATTATGTTTCTTTCCATCACACCATGCTAATTTTTGAAACGGGGGTGAGGTGAGGCTTCTCTTGCATCCTGTTCATGAGATGTTCTTCTGTGCTGAGAAGGGGGCTGAACAGTGCTATTTTTTTTGTGCTGCAATGTGTTGCAGTCTGCTACGTGGAGCTACAATACCTTTGCTTCTGCTCCGCACTGCAGTGCTGCATTTCCCAGTATGCAACTTGCATTTCGATGCTGTGCAGGTCCCGATTTGGATCAATGTTCTTGGTACGTTTGGCAGAGCCGAGATTCACGGCAACTCCCTGGCTTCGTCAGGCTCTTATATGGTACCACACTGTGTTGTGTTGATATATTATGTACTCTGCTTTCATACTGGCCTGTGTGGTATTAATAAGTTGCACTGATTTCTTTCCTGTTCCAATTAATGTTGTTTCAAGCTGTTTGGAGAGCCACGATGACTTTCTAGTTTTTGTGACATGATCCTGGGAGCAGCAGAGCACTCAATTTCTACTGAAGTCTGTGCACAGAAGGCTTTATACCTCTGGAAGGATCTGGCTCTCCCTTGCTCCTTAGGGAGCAATAATGCTTCCCATGTGCAACTCCACAGGAATGTCTGCATTGTGGTGGCAGCGTATCACACCAGGGACACTACAGAGCATTGTGCCTGCCCCCCCGCCCCCACTACCTGCTCCTACTAATATTTCATAGACATTAGGGTTGGAAGGGACCTTGAAGATCATCAAATCCAGCCCCCTGCCCCAATGATATGTTCCAAATCCACCAGAAGGCCCGTTCAGGCATTGTCCCGGGGCAGTTCTCAAAGGCAGGTCTCAGGAACAGTGATACAGGGATGCCCTGGTGCTACCTCAACAGCACATTTCCAGATTTGGAGCAGGCAGGCAGGTGTGCTCAGCAGGGTCCTGGGTGGGACTCAGCAGAGCAAACATAGCCTTTGCAGTACAGGCATGTCTGGAAGCACATTGGAGCATGTGTAGACATATCCGAATTAGCCTCAATCTGGCCAGTTTCAGTGGCAATTGCTATCCAAGCACACACCCAAGTTTCCAGGCATCTTTATACATCCCATTGACACACCTCAAAACCATGCAGCCCCAGCTATGCCATTGCTAGTGCCCGTATTAGCTCGAAGAAGGCTAGCGCAGCTGTGCTTATGCGTGTCATGATCAAACCTCTGACTTCAGTGTAGACTTGCTTTAAATTACCGGTCACTGGGAGGGAGGAGAAATGATCACCTACCTGTACTGGACACACCAGCTATGTTACTGGGCTCGCTGATGAGATCCTGCATGACAGCCAGAACTCTGAACTCATACCAGGTGTCCTGCAAACATGAAACAACATGCACTACTGATGAGAAACTTCCTTCAAGAGCAAAACACACTGGGAAGCTTTTGGCAGACCAGCAAACGGACCTGCCCAACCTTGTTTTAGAAGGACCACCCATCTCTTGGGCTGGTAAGGGAATTCCTTTGGAAACCAAACCAGTCCCAACTATGGCAACAAGCAAGAGAGATGCTAAGAATATACCCAGGAAGCTCCCGCAGTGCTTAATACAGCTGACATAGCTACTGGGGGACCCCGGGAAGGAGCAGTCCGTTGCACAGCCAGCCTGCCTCTTCTTACCTGAGACAAGTCCTTGGCAAAAAAGTCACTGTCGCTTCCCGGGATGGCATCATCCAGGATTTCCCATCTCTCCCCTACACGGAACTCCATGATGTAATGGTCAATTGGAAAGCTATGATTGGCTGGAGGAAGCCATGACAACAGGACTCCTTGCTGTGTCCGATTGGCTGTTAGGCACCTCGGTGGGGTAACTAACACCAGGGGCTCTGGAGTTGTTACAGGGAATGCTGAAGACACACAAGATGGGAAGGGGGTAGGGGGAAAAAATGCATTTAATGACCTCCAGGAAAAAGTAGCTGGCTCCTGCATCCAGGCCAGCAGCTTTATGTTAACGAGCGCTCATGCCCTTCCATCTTTTGCTCTCGCACCTCCTGCGAAGGGCCAGTGCTATCTTGCCTTGATCTTGCTATCAAGCAGTCACTTGATCCCAGCTGACTTCCCACCTATGGGGCGGGGGCTGGACCCGATGATCTCATGAGGTCCCTTCCAGCCCCTAATGTCTATGAAATCTATTAAATGTGGACTTGTGCCAGGAAAGAGCTAAGCCGTGAGAGTCTGCGACCCTCTCGAGCTTCTAGACACACATCATCTATCTACGCTGGAGAGGACCGCACCATGGAAGTGCAATAAGGGCGGTTTTATGACTCTGGGTATGGACAGACAAGACAACACCAGTTTAGAAGGAGAGGCTACTTTGCACTATTCAAGCTGATCTACTGCATCTGTTTCACATGCCATTCATCCTATAGTAAATGGAAATTCAACTGCAATAAGTTAGCAGCCATTTCATTCTGGGGTGAGCTGTCCCAGCATAGCTTCCAGTTACTGCAGGACAGGCACAGACGCACAAAACAGTTACAACAGATCAGCAGACGCATGCTCATGAGCAGCAAGTCTCCCTTCCCCCATTTCTGTCAGTATAATTGGTTCATCCAAGCATAGTCTTTCAGAAGCATTAGGCACTGACTGCAGGCTGAGACAAAGATGTGAACTAAAGAGATTGTTAGTTTGCTTCATTACGGCATTCGTTACTATTCTTCAGCTGCAGGTTTAAGACATGCATCCACGCACGTGCCACCAGCAAGGTCTAACGTCTAGAAGACGGAAGGGATCTAAGGGAAGGGGAACAACTGTAGATGCCATGAGGCTAGGAGGAACAAGGGACACAACATTAAAAATGCCAACCAGCTCCCTGGTCTTTCTGCTGAAACTGCCCCCACGGGAGCTAGCCGTGCTGGTCATTCTGCGGTGTCACCTGGAGCAAGATATGGTGCACGCTGCAACTAGCAAGTTGCCTCCCTACTCTTGGGACTCTCAGTCTCGGCCCATCCCCACGCTGTACCAACGCACCTAGAGTGTTCACAGTGACCACCTCACTGAAGGAGCTCGTGCCCAGTTTGTTCTGAGCCAAGACACTGAACTGGTATGCTGTCTCTGGTTCTAAGGTATCCACCAGCAGCCAACTAGAACCTGATGGCACTGGAAGAGACAGCCAGTCATGGGGTCCAAACTGTGCTCTCTTCATCCTGCCAAGAGAGAAAACAGGCAACTCAAGCGGAGGTGCTTTTGAGAAAGAGAAAAATAGTGCGAGTCAGTCTCTTAAGCAATCATGGAACAGTTCAAAAGATGGATTGGGCTTCACGCCAGAATGTGTATGGACATGGAGCTGAGATTCTGCCACCATAGAGCATGCACTGAAACTGGGCTAGGGGAAAGATAGAAACCAGGACTCATGCTGTTCGCTGGGTGCCCTGGAGCTCTTCCCTTGGCTCCACCCTACACCCATGCAGAGGGTACACTAACAGCACTCCCAACCCTCCCTCCTACCTTACACCATACTCTACACAAGCAGCTCTTACACTGCAGTGGGTGTATCTACACATGCTATTAGCATGGAGCAATAAACTCCGGTGCATAACGCACTGGAGTTTATTGCTCCTGGGTGCCACGTTTACATGTGCATCTAGGACCACAGCACATTGAGGTGGGTCGGATCAGCCCCAGCTGGCAAGGGGCCAAAAGGGTCAGTCTGCCAGCCCAGGGCTGCTCCGACCCAGCTCACTGTGCTGAGGAGGGGCTGGATGGGGCATGAGAGTGCTACAGTGTGGGGTTAGCTGGCAGGCAGCCCCCGCACTGAAGCACCCTGGTGCCCCAGCCAGCCCCATCAGCATCTACACGCACGTTGCTGAGCAGTAAATAATGCCACCACAGGGTAGTACTTGTATTTATAAATACTGACCTATGGCAGTGCTTCTTAGTTTACTGTGACTTAATAGGGCCACACGTGTAGGCACAGAGATTTTACTGTGGAGCCAATTAGGCAGCTCCACAGTAAATGTCTCAAGTAGACGCGGCCAGTTTTGGCCAATATAGAGCCTTGTAACTCAACAGACCTGCCTCAGAGTATTCAGAGCCAGATCCTTACCTCCAGCAATGACAAAAGCAAATGTACCATACTTTTTATTGCCTGTTAAAATTGTAGAGCTGTGGAAGAGCCAGAACAGACTCTGGCTTAGTGTCACCAATGCACTGTTCCCAAAACAGGACTGAATTTTGCTTTCAGCCCTTTCAACACCTGCCGTCCCACTGGAGACAATGAACTAGAGTAGGATCTGAGTTGCAGCTACACAGTAAGGACTCTTAGTGAGAAGTCTGGAGCACTCTGCAACTCTGGACTTGTGCTGGCGGAGAGGAGAGTCAAACGTAAGACCCCAGGCTGGATCCTCACATACAAAGGCCCTTTTATGCTGCCAGAATAGCGAGAGAGGCTCTGAGAACAGAATCAATTTTATTTACACTGCAGAGCAGCAGAAAGGAGCCTCAGTGTAAATGAGAACCGAACCCACCAGGTTTGCACACCCATTACAGAAACTGCTGCTGATAATCCTCATTGCCACTAATGAAAAATAGGCCAGATTGAAAATCAAGAAGGAATGTGATCCAAGGGATGCCAGTCTGGCAACTTAGGGGAAAAAAAATCCCCCCACCCCAAATTTATATATTTACTTGGAAACTAAGTAGACGTGTTTGAGACAAATAAAGGAACAGATTGATGCACTTTAGGGTAAGTTTAGAGCAGAGCTTCACGTTTCTGGTGCTCTCCCCACTCACTACAGCTGCACTTTAAGAACATAGGCAAGCAAATTGCTTTAAAAAAAAAAAAAAAATGGAGCAGCATAACAATGCTTTGAATAGATCTTTCCCTTTTTGTGCTTTTATCCTTCAGTGGTTTCCTGCCGCTCCCTGCAAACTGAAAGCCTATGGCTGCAAAATATACAGACTTCTATCTAGCCCCTCAGACTCGGACATGGGTTTCCAAACAGTGAAGAGCTACGTGTGACATCCAAGAAACATGAGACCTGAGAATCCCACCAAAACAGCAATGAAACTGGGTGATCCTAGACAGTTTAGAGACTGAGAAGATGACAAAGCTCAATCAGTACCTGGGAAGATGATGGGATCCTCTTATTTCTCAATGACCATTTTTGCCTAGTCTAACTATCACCAATTCATTTCTTCTGTTCCCATAGCTAATGGGTGGCCAACATACTAAGAGGGATCCACAAAGGAAAGCCTGTGGTAGTTCACGGTGGTATCCAGAATAGCACTGTTCAGGAGCACTTGCAGAGAACTCAGCATGAAGAGGAGACGGACAGAAGCGAGCCTTTGGGACAGGAAAGCCTCAAGGCTTTTTTTTCTTAGTCTCGCGCGCTCTCTCTCCTGCACACACAATAAACAAGCAACAATTCCCAAATGCAATCTCTAGACTCCTGACTTGCGAGACTTCCTGCCAAGCCAGAGCGACACAAAACCATGAGAAATATCATGATGCGAAGACTCCAATGCCTCAAAGAAGCATCGCTGCAATGCACCATTATTGCCAGTATCAATAGGTATAACCTCTACACCTCTATTTGGAAGATATATTCTAGTGATCACTCCCATAGGCTGCAGTTCACAATAATGTCAGTAGAGTATTTAGGAGGGGTTACTGTAGGTTGTGAGATGAAGTGGGTGTGTGTATGTATTTGAGAGACACATTACAGTGTAGAGGCCAAATGGAAAAGCCACAAGCTTCGCTTTTAGGCAACTCCATGAGGCAGGAGGTAAAGGATGGGGCAGACAAAATGGGAGGGAGAAAAAGAGGTGGGAAAGGAAGCATCAAGCGGTTGAAATGAGCAAGTGTGGAAGACGGCAGCGCACGTGCACAGAGCAACGCAGCATAAACCAGACCAGAATGAGCTGCAGAGACACGACTGTGGATAGGAGTCAACACCCTGACCTAAAACCTACAGTCCCCAGAATCCTCTGTCCCAAAAGCTGGTGTCTGGAGTCAGGGGAGGAGCTGCTGGGAAAGGAGATTTGTCCGATTCAGGTTTCCCATAAGCACTGAACCAAGCTGCCTTCACGTTCCCTTCCGCTGGCTCGTTATGGATGCCTGGCCCAGGCCTGGAAGCTGTCAATCTCGGTAAGGCAGCCAAGTAACTGGAACCGCCTGACATTGGGGGAGGATGGGAAATAAATCCAACACTTATCACCATCAAGCATGAGAAAAGCTCTTCCCTGACAAGACTGCACGAACCAAACCAGGATGTTCCAGTTACACAGCTCTCTTCCCAAGGACTCTGCCTCTGAATATCTCCATGAAACTGGACCCGAATTCAGTCCCTGCTCGTAATTACAAAAGGAAAGTCTCGGCTACACGTGGGTCCCAACAGTCCCGCTAGTGCATGGCCCTATGACCACAAGTGCCTTCTAAGGGAGCCAATAAACTTGCAGGAACTTTGACAGCCTTAGGTGGAAGACACAATTTAAAGGAACAAAAAGATATTCATTTCGAGAGTGACCTAGCATCAGAGATGCCGCTCCTCCTCTTCAAAGCAGCAAAAGGCAGAAGCGAGAGAATTACTCAGGCAGAACTGCAGCCTCAGGGTGGTGGCCAGTGCTCCTCTCACTCCAACACATTATAACATGTAAGGCCATAAGTGAGAGCTGTTGGCAGCTACCTCATCTACTACATCCATATTCCAGGCATGATCTCACTTCAAGGGCCTCAGGTATGGGAGTGGCTGCTTAAACCCCATTCATTTCTAGCCTAAAGCACCATAGCAAACCAGAGTTAAGCTAAACTGGTTTGCGAGCTAAACTTGGCAGAATGGGATGAACTCTGCAGCTCTCCGAATCTTTATTCCGGCTGGTTGACGAAGTTGCCATTGTAGACAGCGGTGACAAAGTGCAAGCTCAAAGCCTCTCGATGCTCTATATTCTACCTCCCCAGGTACAACGTTGCCAGCATTAATAGTGGGAGCTCAGTCCAAAGAGAAGGAAACGTCGGAAGGATGTAGCTGTGTGGAGGGCCAAGAGGAGAGGGCAGACTGCAAAGGGCTCAGCCTGAGGAATGTGCTGCTTGAAGAGGACAGTATAAACACAGCAGGGAACAAAATGCATCACCTTCGGCTGGGTACAGATTTCCAGACTGCAAATAAGATCAGAGAAGAGGGCGCAGGGGCTGACGTTGATAAGTGAACGCCAGTAAGAAAGAGCTGCTCGGCAATGCACAGCCCTTTTTCACCTTAGCTCCCCAATCCATCGAGTGCCTTACACCACTAGATTCTCCTTGCTGGCTCTTTCTGCGACCAACTAAAACTCAGAGGACTAACTGGCCTCAAGCAAAGGGTCCCTTCCTTTCTCCCCAACGTGCTGCCTAAGGTCCAACACCACCGCAGTGATCTTGCACCAGACCTGAGCCAATGTTCACACCTCTCCCTGCCTTGCATCATATTTCACTTGGGATCTGAAAGCCACGGGGAGAGTTGGGGAGTCCAGGATTTTCAGGAATGCAATGAAAACCAGCACAGGAAGTTGGCAGCACGCAGCAGCAGCTGGCATCCTCCACCAAGGCACATCTCCCAGGGAAGGCTTAATCATTCCTTTTCAAGGACAGTTTAATCAGAGATGCAGCCAGGTGAATTCTTTGCTCGAAGCCCATTCCCTCGCTCAGGGCTCTTTTTTCACCCTCATTTTTCTCTCTCTCCTCTCAATTTCTCCTTCTTTCTATTGCCTTTCCTTTGTCTCCCAGCACAATTACCCAGCCCCCACTTTCTGAACACTGATACTGTCCACGATCTAAAGCTGAGTAGAATTTATTATGGAAGGCATGTACCCAATCTCCACTCTATCAGCAGACTCCATCTGGCCAAATTAAGGGAAGGAAAGTGAGCAAAAAGAGAGTAACAAAAAAAAAAAGAAACCCCCCCAGCGAACCAGGGGTGGGGGAGAAGACGTGGCTCAGAGCGGGAAGGTCGTTTTCACCTTTACATTTCAGTTGATGGATTCTCTGACAAGAAACAGGATGAGAAAAAGCTCAGAGGCCGAGTGAGAGGCTGGCCAGTTCTGCAGCCTGTCGCAATTGAGGAAGGCAAGGGGCCGCTGAAAGAGCACTGCACCGCTCCACTTCTTTACAGGGGCGCGGGGGAGAAAGCCAGCCAGCTGGCTTAGGAAGCAGCTACAACGCAGGGGGCCTGCCACAGGCAGAAATTAGTAGTGTGAATCCCAGGCAATGCTATGTGGAACGTGAATCCTGGCACCCTGGAAAACTCAGGCCTGAATACTGACACTAATCCTGCGTGTGCAAATCCCACTGTGTTAAAATGGTGGATGTGCGAACCTCGGCGTCGCTGCTGGTGTGCATGGATTCAAAGATGCCAGAACGTGAGGTTCACTCTGAGCAGGTATTAAGAGGCTTTTTAAGGTTATCAGCCTTCTGCTGCTTTGCCCGGTCATTAATTTAAACCAAAGAACACTCCAGATGAAAAACAAGAAGTCCCCATCATTGTATCATTTGTTTCTACTAATCATCTATCTTCTCTCACGAGTTCTTTCAGACTGGGGCTTTCATTGTCCTCAGAGCCAAGGGTAGCAGGATATGGGCTTTATTAATTGTCCATCTCGATCGGAAAATTGGGGCATTGTGAGCCAGACTATAGGGCCTCATCCTCGCCGCACGGCCAAGGACAGATGGAATTTACCTGAGACTTCAAGGAGAGCTGGATCACGTACGGTCAACATGCCAGAGAGAAAAAACCAATGTATTGTCTCAACTGTGCAGGCTCTGCATGATTATTAAATGCAACTCCCACCTGCGTCACCAACGTGAGCAGATATAAGATCTACATATAACAAGTCCCAGATCATATTCTGAGGACTCCGAGTCCCCCGCAAGCAGCTGTGGAGTAAGAGGGGGGCCACTTTGACAGGGTTGTTTTTTTTCACCGTTTATTTTAAAGCCTGTGTTTTTTGTCAATCGTGTGGCTGCTAACTGTTAACGCCACACGTTTCAGCTGACCTCTGTCTAGGTGCAGGTTCCAGTACGTTACATTAGTGTAAAAAAAAAGTATATACCATATATTGTAACCAGGGGCTGACAGATGGACTGACCTAGCAGATAAGGAAAGGGGACACATGGCAAACCTGCAGACCTCTGCAACAGAAACACAGGCAAGGACAAAGAGGTTGCCCACTATATTTGTATGTCTGTCTCCCAGATCAACTGACAGCTGTGGAAAGGAAAGAAGGAAGAAAATGCTCTACCAGGATAGATGGCAGCCTTGTGTTCACACCTTTCTCCACTGCTCTGGGACACCAGATTTGCAGTGAAAGCCCATTAAAGTCAATGGAGCTAAGGCGATTTACGTAGGGCCAGCACCTGCCCCCAGCCTCCTACCAGCTGTCCTGCCCTCACCTTTTGCCCACCCCGACTGAGAAATGGTAGTGTGCGTGCCTGCTCCCAGCTCTGGCTGAGAAGGAAGGAAAAGAAGCAGAGAGCAAAGCATGCTGGGGTGACTCACAGAGGGCCGTACCAAACTGAGAATGTCTGCTCATATCCGCCATCATAGCCGGGCTCCCAGGAGACATTGGCAGAGGTCATGGAAACCACAACGCGCACGTTGCTTGGGGCATGAGGGCTTGTGCCTGAAAACAGAGAGAAAGCTCCATGTGTGAAGGTAGCAGAGAAAAACATAAAGGACCCAGTCACCAGATCACCCACAGAAGAGGCAGTTCTTGGACTGGGGAACGTATGGCTGCTAAGAGCTTGAACACAATTCGGTGCTCGGAGCGGAAGGGGACCTTCCCCAGACTCCCTCTGCTCGCCAAGGACTCGAACAGACAAAAACTATCACATCGAGACAGGGCAGTAGCACTGACCACCTCTGCTTGCCTGGGCTAGTGATCTGCTTCTAGGAAATGTGCAGGGCACACCTTGCCTCCCCCACCAGGCCAGACCTTAGGAGCCCAGCAGTGCAGATTTTAAAAGATCAGTGAGTTCGTAGGATTAAGGGGAGGGGAGTGTGAAAAAAAAGATTTAAAATAAACTGTCCCTTGGCTGTGCACTGGCAGGGGGAGATGCACTTGGCCAGAGAGGAAAGGAGCTTTTCAATCTGCCTGGGGACATGGCCTAAATAAAAGGACAGAGATTTAAAGACAGCACCACTGGAGTGTGAAATTAAAGGAAAATGTTGCTCTTCTTTTCATGGGGAGTGTTTCTGACTTGTGCCTTTCAGACATGCAGTTTGGTGCAACACTGTACAGAAAATATGAGCCTCTCCTCACAGGGAAGCACATACTTGTCTTCAAATTATCCAGCAGTTAATCTCTTTGCAAACTGAAAATCTAGGTAACTCACCCCTGCAGCAAACACTGCCACCAGGAACCAGACTTGGAAATCTGGGAGACCCTGGAGATGCCAGGTCCCGGATCAAATCAGAACCCAAAAGCGGGGTGAGAAACGGTTGGGAAAGAAATCTAAAGGGATCCACCCTACCGCATCCGCAGAGGCATGGGCCAACATACCTTGCAGAAGGCAAGAAAGGGCACTCTCCTTCATTCGCTCATCAACCCCTTATTTCTCCTGCATCTCTCCCCTCTTCCTCCCCATCCACAACTTATTATTTTTTCTCCATTCCTATCCTCCAGAATGGACTCCATTCTCTCACCTTCCAGACCATGCAAGCCCTTCCCTTATATGCCCCCAATATCCACCCTTCACAATTCCCTTGAAGGTCCTTCTCCACATGGTCAAGCCCCCTCCCTCTGGCCCGCTAGAGCAAGCCTTCCCATACCTACGACTGTAAGATGAGTGCTGGCAGTAATGCTTGTGACCATGTTGGTAGCGACACACTCCCACTCCCCGTGGTCGTCCTTACTGAGGGATCGGAACTGTAGGCTGCCACTTGGAAGAGTGTTGTGCTTGCTTCTACTGGGCTTCCCTACCTTGGGCAAACAACAGAGAGAGCAGAGGGAAAGAAAAAAAAAACACAACTGAGAAGCACATTGCAAGGCAGGGACAGGAGGCAGCACTATGTTAGCCAAGTTCTACTTGCAAGTCACAGCAAATACTACCGGGGCTAGCAATGGCTCCAGACTCTTCAACATGTGTGGCTGGCTATGAGAATCATCACATGGCAGCAGGTTTACTGAGTTCTCATTTAAACAAGCCAGTAAAAATGGCAAGATGACTCAACATACACATGCAGAACAGAGCCCGGTTTTACAACTTGGATACATAAGCATAAACGCACACGCATACAGACACCACAGACTTCAGAGGAGATGCAATCTAGGACCGTCAGCATCCAAAGCGCAAATTTCTCTAGGTCTCCAGATAAAGGAACTGCTTGAGCTCCTACTTCCAGGCTATGGTGGCCTCTGGTGTCAACCACAAAAAGGGAAACATGACTGCACTAAACCAGGGATTAAAATAAGACAGGGTGCTTGGTTTGAGTATCTGATTGCTTCTGACACCACTTAGACATTCAAAATAAGAAGCCTCTAAGGACTCACTGGAGTTTTGAAACACAGCGCTGGGCACAAGTCTGCCTTATTTTAAAAAGAACTGTGCGTCTGTTTGGCTCAATTTTGTCCACATAGCTGTATCAGCTAGGATCAGAGGCAGGGGAAGGAGGGAGAGGAGAGAAAAGAATCACACCCTATGGTCAAAGCAGCCATGCTAGGAAAACACCTAGAGTGGACACAGCTATGCCAACAAAAATGGACTTCTGGAAGCTCAGTTAATGTCATTGGGAGAGACAATTTAAACATACCAGCAAAAAACTCCACTAGAGGGCTCTACCAGCGCAGCTACAGCAGCAGAGGCCTGTAGTGTAGACAAGTCCCGAGCTCCCAGACTAGGGGTCAGACTCTCCTCAGTTAAGTGTGGCAACTGAGAAGAGAATAGGGTTGGGTACAATTGTTTTCAGTACACTCTCTTTAGGAGTAAAACCAAGGGTAGCTGCATCCACACCACAGCATTTGGGCAATCCAGGTCCATAAAGATTAATTCTACAACTGGGCTCCTACGTTTGGGAATCTTTCATGTCGAATAGTCTAGGTGCTTCATTTTAATTAAACTGAAAAAAGTGTGGACTCTCTCATGATAACTGAAACAATGGATTTCACAACAACTGGCAGTTATGGCCATAAACTGGAGTTGTATGAACCCAAAGCTGCTCTGAAGACACCACTAGCACGTGTGTCAATAGCACATGCATAGCTTTTCATGGGTTTATTACACATAGCTAGGCTGTGATTTATTGGCCGCTTTGCAATGCTATCAGTGAACCACGGTAGAGTGGCTCTACGTGGCTGGATTCCTGTTTTGTAAGAGAGCAGTGGGATAAAAGCTCCAGCTAGCAACAGTGAAGCCAAAGTCCTCAGTGGCCTCTCAGTGAAAGACAGGCTTGAAGTGGCAGTGGCGTCCATGAGCTTGTAGGGAGCACGAATCCTTTGTCCTACTGTTCATTGGGGAGCCCATTCAAGTCCTGACTGATATCGCTGCAGGATGACATGACCAGACAATCAGGGCAGAAGATGGGGGGAGGGAAGGGAGAGTGAAGGGGGGAGACACAAGGAAGACTGAGAACAAAAATAGAGAGAAACACGAAAAAGAATGAAGGGAGGAAGTCGCATGGAAGGAAGATACAAGTGTTCTAGAGAGCAGTGAACTACTCGCCTTGAATTTGTACTAATTTCTTACCAGCATCCAACGCAGTTTGCACTTGGGCCATTTTACCATCGTCCGCTTTGACCCCAGAAAGATTAAGGGCAATGCCAGCTGTGCATGGTCCTCCAAGGAAGTGGGCACCCCTGCACTGACTGCCCCAAAATGTGATTAGCTGCTTGTCCTGGTTGGAGACCTTTCATCTCCAGCTCCATTTTTCCAAGGTTAGATGTAGCACAGCGTATGGAAAATCCCACCCCTACAGGTCAAATATATAGTGCTGGCCAGTTCCACAGCCAAAATAAAGTAGGGTAAGTGAGGAGTTAGGCTATGAGAAGTCTGGGGTAAGGGAGAGAAGCCTGCAGCAGGGATAGGGCTCAGCATGCCCCACAAACTTCTTTGTTTGCCTCTCAAAGGACTGGAGGAAGGAGCGCACTGGCTGGTTGGGGGGACAGCCCAGAATGAAAAACTGATGAGGACTGGCTGATGAAGAATGGCTGCCCTGGTACTGCTGGCAAACAGGACACTTCTGAACGTGGGCAGAAATGAGACTTAACTCCTCAGCCCGTGCTGCAGGACTGTGTAGTTGGGGGAACACTGGTACCGTTCATGTCAAGCTCTGCCGGACTATGGCAGCCACAGGCCCAGATGTGTCTTATCAACTGAAAAGGTCCTCAAGTCTTGTAATGAGATGTGGAGACGTGTTCCCATCCTGCCAAGGCAGGGTTGCACATCAGGGGCACCTGCCCCAATAAAACCGAGACAGAGTAAAATACCTAACGCCTGTGAATTGCATGTAGAAGTAAAGTAACAGACTGGTTCTCCCCAGAGTACAATCCACGCTGGGTGGACGCCCAGTCTGCACGATACTTTTCGGTATGGCATGTGAAAGCAGCAGCAGAAATTCATTAAAGAAGCTGGTACTGAGCAGTGAGGGACACTTCCAAAAATGCTGCTGAGCCCTGACAATGCAGCATCTGCAGCTGCAACATGAACATGTTCAAGTGCTGCACGGCCGCAACACTGTAGTATGAGGGAGATATTCTGGCAACTATCGCAGAAGGGATGGGAAGCTCAGGTAGGTATCCCTGCAGTTGATACCAGTGTGGAGCAGCCAGAGGAAGAGGAGTGGAGGCAGTGTTCAGCTTTGCAGATGCTGCTGTGACGGTTTCATGGTATTAAACGCTTTGTTGCCGGGAGCTGGGTTTCCCCCACCCACCTGCGGGACAGGACGGCAGTGGTACAGCCCAAAGCGAAGCAGCTGTACCTGCAGTTTGTTCTTACCGGGACAGAGTGTGGCTTCTCTGTCTGCAATATTCATCAAAAGCCAAAGGCACTGCAGATTTGTCTGGCAGGCCGGGTACCTTTCTCCAGGCGATGACAGGAAAGGGGTCTCCTGCAGCAGCACAAGGGATCAACAGCTCCCTCCCTGCCTCCTGTCTGTACTCCCAGCCTGGTAGCACCGTGAAATAGGGTGGGTCCTGTAGCCAAGGGAAAACTCAAGTAACTGTCAAAACACACACTTACGCAGAGTGTACACACATGTGCACGCACACACTCAAAGAACCGCCCCTTGAGGATCTCTTCACAAATCATGTTAACTAGAGAGTTTTGATCCAGAAAAATAAATTTGAAGCAGCTTAATTTGCATCACTGATTTAAAACAATTGATTTATTTTTAAAGTATGAAGTCGAGGGCTTACAGAACTTATTTGAAAACATATGCTTCTGCAGCTTTCAGCTGAATTGCCTTTTCCCCCTAAACAATCACTCTGCTAGGATACCTTATTTGAACTATCTGCAACAATACAGGGAAAAACGCCAAAATATTGGACAGTAAAGGCCCAGTCCTGCAAAAATTTAAATGGGGTGGGGTGGGGGTGTTATTGGTTTAGAAAGCCTTACCAGGTTTTCAAATCATTACCATATAAGCGTGAGAAATAAAACGTTAAGTATTAGCATCATGGTTTTACTTCACCTCACACTGACTTCAGTAGGATTCCTTGTGCTCTTCAAGATAAGCACGCACATAGGTGCTTGCGGCATCAGAGATTCAAATTGTATATTTATTAAAAATAGAAGCCACAATATCTTCGGTCCAGATCACCACATATACTCATTTCAATGGGAGTTAGACATGTAAGTGCCCCAGGAAATCTGGGGCTTTGTCGCATCAAAACAAAGCTGTTTTCGTGTGAAGAACAAACACTTCTTCAGGCTCAATGCCTTAGCAAAACCTCTTCTTTCTGCACACACTAGCCAACAGTTTCAGATGAGAAGTAGGCTCCTAAACCTGTATTTAGGCAGTCACTGGCAAGATTTTTCTAAAAGTGCCTAAATGGGAAGTGTACTTCTAAGTCATATGTCTATACCTATATCTAGATATATAGACATATATCTAGATACAGATATGACTCAGAAGTACACCACCCATTTAGGCACTTTAGAAAAATCTTGCCATTGATTGCCTACAGATGGGTTTAGGAGCCTACTTCTCATTTGAAAATATTGGCTAGTATGTGTTTGTCTATATGACCTACATACATATTGTAAACCCTGAGGGTGCTCTTAGGAAGGTTTAATATACTGTTACATATACAGTCTAGTGTACTTGATCAGCAATTTAAGGTATGTCCACACTGCAATCAAAGTATGATAGCAGAAAAGGTAGGCATACCCAGGCTAGCAGCACTCTTGTTAGCTAAAAATAATCAGCAAAGATGCGGAAAGCCAACTTCAGCACTGGCGAGCATCACAGGTTCATTCCCAAGGTCCCTGGAGGGTCTGCACAGCCCACTCTGCTGTCTTCACTGCTGTTTTTAGCAACGCTATCTAGAGTTAAGTTAGTGGGCAAAGCCTACCCATGTCGTGATCGCATCGCCACTGCAGTGTAGACATGCCCCTTCATGTTTTGAGCTTGCAGTGCTCTTGCAGTAAAGATGTTACTGAGGCCCTTATGCTCGCCTTTTTCAGCATAGATGAGCATACTGAGTGGAAAAAAATCCCTAAATAAACCTGTAATTCTACTAAACAATAAGGAAGCTAACTAAAGAAACAAGTACAAAACACCCACTTCAGCAGCTTATGACTATGGAATGGGAAGACAGAACTAGTGACATGGAAATAAAAAATCATGAAATTCCTCTAAAAAATACCCCAAGTTTTTTAAAACTAAGTCATGATTTTTTATTTATTTATTTATTTTATACATACATACATACATACACACACATACACATACACACACACACACAGATGATCCAAGCAGAGTGCAGGGCCCAGGGCAAAACCAGCCTGTGCAGGGCCCCACCCCCGGACACAAGGAAGCCGGCAGCAGATTCAACAGTGGAGGGAGGGAGTGGGGTGCCAAGCACTTGGATGTGAAGCCGGCAGCAGCACGAAGTCAACGTGGCGGCTCTGTCCAGCTCTGCAGGGCCCCACAAAGCACGGGGCCTCAGGTGGTTGCCCTGCTTCTCCCCCCAGGGATGGCCCTGTACACACACA